AAAACAACAAAGAGAAAAAACTTGCACCTCAAAAAACTTTTTCAGAAGATCCGCTTACCTCTCTATATATCTATATCTAAATAAAGATATATAGATATAGATATTTCTTTTTTTCTTTTTTCTTTCTTTTTCTTTTTTTGTAAAAGCCCTGAGAGAAGGAGAAAGAGAATCATACAAAATGTTTAAGAGACGAATTAGCTGGACATGCAGACTAAGCTATGATGCACCCAGAGTTGAAACAAATCACAAATTTCACAGTTTAATATTGGGGGGGTGGGGACAGAACGACACACAAAGAACACATTTCTCAACCTCACTAATAAAATGTGGCAAGACCTTACTGACTAGCGGGGTACGGAGGAAGGAGGCTGGATAAAGCTTTAAGTCGATAGTGATTAATGAGGCGGCAGCCCCGGCTACAGATGGCGGCTGGGGCCGATGGCTGCTGTATCTCATGGCAGCCTCATGTGTCCCCCCCGCCCCCAATATTGCGACTTGAGTGTGGAGAGTTGCAGAGAAAAACAAAACACGAGAAACCCCGAATAATATCAATAATGAAAATAACAATAACAGTTGAAATTTAAAAAATAATAATAATAATAACAAGGGATGCAGGAAGTGAGTTTCAACTAAATGGGCCAAGAGACGTGGGTTCGAATTTGCACTCATCTCTACGGCATTGAACAACCTCGTTTGGAAACTAGTTTGTACATCCCTCATGCAGTTACAAACCATATATACCTCAGCCTTCTCCTTTCGTATGTAAAGAGACCACCTGTCACTCTCTCGAGAAGTCGCTCTTCCTTTGACATCTGGGAGGTTGGCTTTTGGCCACCAGAGACGGGGGGAAGAAGTGGACAGGAGGGGACATGCGTGTCTCTGTGTGAGCGAGTGTTAAGTGGGAACCTCTGGGACTGAAAAGGGCAGCAGAGTTAGGGTAGGGGGCGACCCTCCCAGAGAAAGGAGAGGCTCTCCCCAAATACAAGGGGGTCCCCGGCAGCAGAATGGCTCGGGGTCCTGGAGGTCTCAGCTGAAGACAAGCTACAGTAGGCTTTTATCCTCACTGCCAGCGGCCACAGCGAGGGATGTCTACGACCTGCCCGAGACACTCACTTATCAGTGACCCCTATCTTGCTGCACCCAGGGCATCGGGCTGTTTAAGAAACCGGAAACGGTATGACTCTCTTCAAGCACCAACTCCCACATCGCAGGAAAGGGAAAGGTTAATCTAGTTCTTGTCTTCCACCTTGCCCGTGTCGTTACATGACCAGTAGTAGTATTTCCTTGCTTTGCAAATGACAGTAGCTCGGTGGGGGGTGGGGTGGGGTGGCCTGGGCTTAGCAGGAAGACTGGGAAAACCACGCTGGGGAGGACAGGCCTCATCACGGCCTCGCTTTCTCAGAAGTGTGTCTGCAGTGCTTTCAGCAGGGCCCCGACTCTGGGGCGCCTGGCCGTGCTCGCCCCACCCTGGGCTGCTGCGTGGCCCTGTGCGGGAGGACGGCTCGTGGCCCCTGGGGACTTCTGCAGCCAGGGAAGAAAGGCTTATCTGAGTACAGTAGAAGAGCTCCCACCCAAGGGTGCCCAAGAAAGCCGCGGGCGGCTCAGGTCTCCCGGGACAAATATTGCCCATGTGTTTCTGCTCACTGCAGAGACCAGCAAACTGATGAACTCAAAAATAATAATAATAATAATATTAATAATACATATACCGAAAGGGGAGGGGGGGACAGCAACCACACGACACCCGTGTCACGTTTTCTGCCTTAAGATGCAGGGGGAACCTTCCCGACCCTTTAGGAGCGGATGCCTGGCAACGTGAGCACTAGGTACATCGAACGCGGACAGAGCAGAACGGTGCACGAGGCTGACACACTCGCTTCTGCTTGAACCGTGCTGGAAACCTCCATCAAGGACAACCGGTGACACCGAGGACCGGGTGACAGTTCCACCACGTAGCAAAATGGAAAAAAAAAAAAAAAATTAAAAAAAAAAGTCTTCTCAGAAATTAGCATCTTGTCTGCCTCTCCGCTGGTCGTTTCCACGAAATTCACATCATTTTCTTCCAGTTATTGGCGATGGGCCTCCCCGGGGATGGGTTTTGTCTTCTGTTTCCAGCTCACAGAACAAACGGGACGATCACAGATTCTCAAGAACAAACTCACACACATCAATACAAAAGGTCGTGATAATGCTTACATGAAGAGTTCCTCTCCAAATAATTCATTAAAATAGACGTGTTTGTTTTGTTTGTTTTTCCTTACAAAGTCATTTTGGGAAAACGTATAGCCGTAAGCATCCGGAAGGCAGGCTAAGTAGTTAAGGCACTGGGGTCGGCCCGGCTGTGGTCTCTGTGCGGTCCGCGGCCGGGCTATGGCACTGGGCGTAGGCAGTGTCCTCGCCCATCTTGATCTCTCACTCTCTCTCTCTCTCTCTCTCTGTCGCTCCCTGGAAACTGAAGGGCACTGAGGAAACCTCGTGAAGTCTGGATTCGGGACGCTTTGCTCTGCTGGCTTGTCCGTGGGCTGAGGCGGGCGGCACGGGCTGTCATTCCAGTCCCAGGAGCTGCGAGGCGGCCTCGGTGGCAGCCAGGATGGGGTGGCCAGCCCGCTTGCCTCGTGACTCCAGTGGGTCTTGCCCAAGGGCCACTGGGCTCTCTGGGTCAGCGTCGCCTGGGGATGCCGGCTCTTTGGGGGCGCCCCGGCCGGAGTCCACCGCCCTCCCTGCCACAGCCTTCTCCTCCCTGCGGCCACAGTCCCTGGCCACGCTAGCCAGGTTCTCCTTCCGGCTCCGGGTGACAGCCACATGGCCACTGGTGCTGGCCACGGGCTCGGCCTCGTTCTCCGAGATGGGGTTGTTGCCGCTGTGACTGGAGCCGTCCTCACTGTCCTCCTCGGGCCGCTCGTCCTTGCCGCTGTCCCTCCCGTGGTGTCTGGTGTGCCTGGCTTTCTGGTGGATCCGCTGGTGGCGGACCAGGCTGTGCTTCAAGGTGAAGGTTCGCTCGCAGGTCTGACATTTGTATGGTCTTTCCCCTGGAGTGGCAGGAAAACGAAACGACACGTCCGTTACAGGTATGGCCTGGTGCCGTGTCCCGGCTCTGCATGAGAGCAGCACTGGCCCACGGGTGACGACCCAGGTGTGGGGTGTGGGGGGCCCCCTCCTGCCCAGGGACAGCCTTTTACACGCTAGACCAGTCGGCTGGGGCCAGACGGCACAAAGTCCACGCTGACACTGGGACAGCGAGATGCTCTCCAGGGGGCGCTGTGCCCTGACACGGGAGTTGGCCTGTCTGCAAATGCTCACCCCTCCAGCTGCTGTGCACAGCAGAATCCACCACCCGGCGGGGCCCAGGGCCCTCTTCCGCTGAGAGCCAAGCCCCACGGCCTCCACTGCCTGAGCTCAAAGCCAGGACCACGCATGCAATCTGGCTGCACGTGGGAGCTGCGGCTGTGGGGACCCTGAGACCGAGGTGAGGGCTGGGGCCTTCGGGGGAGAGAGGGAGAGAAGGCCCCTGCATGTTTTGGTTTCGTGAGCACACCCGGGTCTCCTTCCTGACGGAACAGCGGCTCCCGCTCTGGGGTTGCACATTGGTCCCACGGGGAGTGGGTTCTAGGAGGATGGGAATGCCCGCTCAGCTCTGTGGCAGCCACGAGGACCCATCATGGTCACCTCAGCCAGGACAGAGGCAGCCCCACCTTCCAGTGGGGATGCATGAGGCCTTCCCCGCGGGGGTCTGTGCTGCCCGGCCACCCCGGGCTGGGCTCAGGCTGGATGGATGAGACCACGCGGTCCCAGGTGATCAGCCATCAGACACCGGCAGGAGACAGGGCAGACGCCACCCCATCTTACAGGCAAAGGCGCAGGGGGATGGGAGATGGAGCCCAGTGCCCTCCAAACACCTGCTGCAGAGGGTCCAGCTCCAGCCTCGGCCTTGGCCTCGCTGCAGGTCGGGCTGCTTCAAGGGCTCAGAGGACACGCCTGCCACCTCCCCGGCTGGCCTACCTGTGTGGGACCTCATGTGGCGCGTCAGGTCCTGCAGGGACCAGAAGCGCTTGTTGCACACGCTGCAGACCTTCTTCCTCTTGTCCGCCTTGCTGGCCACGCCCTTCGGGGAGTCTGTCTTTGGTTTCTTGTCATCGTCACTCTTCTCAGAGGACTTCTTCTCCGCCGCGCCCTCCCCATCGGAGGGGCCCTCCGTCTCTTCCTGCTTCTCGACCACAGCCTCTCCCACGTCGGGGGAAGGCTCCTCGGCCGGGGGCTGGGCTGGCTTCTCCAGCTCAGGCACGGTGGGACCCTCAGCCGCTCCGCTGCCACCCTCGGCCTCCGGGGCTGGCATGTCCTGGACCCTGGGCTCCTGGTGGCCGTGCGACTTCCTGTGACGGCTCAGCGTGCCCAGGAACTTGAAGCTCTTCCCGCAGGTGTCGCAGGCCAGCTTCTGGTCCTGCTGGGCAGAGCCCCCGCCGCTCACCGGCCCGGCCTCGCCCTCGGCCAGCTTGAAGTCCATCAGCTTGCTGGCGAAGTCGAGGTCCAGACTCTTGTTGCTGGCCACGTCCTCCTCCGGGCCACCCGCGTCCTCGTCTTTCTCCTCCGTGCCACGCTCCTCCTCAGGCTCTTGGTTCTCCTCCTCCTGCTTCTCGTCCCTGTCCACAGGGGAGGCCGCCTCCACCTGAGCCTCTCCTGCAGGGGACTCCTCTGCGGCCTGGCTGGGCTCCGCAGCACCCTCTGCCGGAGGCTGCTCCTTGTCCCGCGACGTGAGGTCCAGCACCTCGTTCGCTACAGCCGCCGGCTCGGCGTCTGACTGGCTGTCTGCGAACAAGCAGAGGGCAGGGTTCAGACCAGAGCCACCAACACACCCCTTCCGATGGCTCTCCAGGGACCCACCCTGGCAGCCTGTGCCCCAAACCAAGTAAGGACTCCTCACCCCAAATCCTCAACACCCCTTCGGCCCCGAGACGGGCCAAGATGCACCCAGGACTTAAGAGAGGGGTGGACAGCCTCCTCAGGCCTGCAGGTGGCTGCACTTTGAACCCCCAGCCCCCTACACCCGCCACACCAGGACACTCAGCTCTCCCCAGCCCCCGGAGGGTGGAGTGACATGACGCAGGCAGTGCAGACAGGGGCTGTGAGATAGGAAAGGGTGCATTCCAGAGACTCGCAGCACCAGGGAAGGTGAGGAAGCCGAGGGGGCAGTTATTTTTCCAGTGCAAAGAGAACACACACATGCAGCACACGCAGGGCCAGCTTCACACCCCGCAACCCCCGACGGAGTTCCACGGAGAACAACCCAGGCCGGTGCACCGCGTAGACAGCACATGTGGGGTTTGGAGGTTCGTTCCCGAGGGAGAGTCAAAGGTCAGGAGAGGAGTCCACACTGCAGGCTTCCCTGGCCACTGCCAGCACACCACGGTGCTGGAAACATCTCAGAGGGCAGGGCGTCTTGGTGCCAGGCGTAAGGAGGACACGGAGGGAAGAAGGGGCCGTGGGTGTGTGGGGGGCCAGGGATCCTGGGGAGCAGGGGCCTCGCTGTCCTGACATCCTGCCTCTTGATCTGTTCCGGGCGACTCTCCATGGCAAAACGGGACGTGGAGAGGTCACCAGCTTCTAATGACACTCTGGAGGGATGGCATAGAAGAAGCCCCGTTGACACCACTGTCAAAAGCGTCTTTGCTCAGGCCAAAGGAGCACTGAATGCTCCGTGCTGTGACCACGACACCGAAGCTGCGGGGCCCTATTCTTTGGCGGCAGACCCAAAGGCCAGACTCGGGGAGCCCCTCTGAGAAGCAGGCAGACAAGCTCCACTGTCTCCCAGCACGGATGTGGGGTACGTGTTCCATACGCCACAGCTCGACTGCAGCGCTCAGGCAGCAAAATCTCACGTCCCTCACCCAGTGTGACTATCACACCACAGCGCCAACCCAGAAGTGCTTGATTACTAGCCACTGAGAGGTCGGGGCTGCGTCGCAAAGGCAGCCTGCCCCTCCCTGGGTCTGCAGAGACAGTGCGTAGCGTTCACACCTGCCTGGCACTGCGCCCGAACACCTGCACTCCCAACTTCTCACTTCAGGGGCTTCCCTGGACTGCACCATTCGGCAGCCACTGCTCGGGCATCACCGGAGCTTTTATCCCGCCTCAGGGGGGGATGGCCATGCTGCAATCCCTTCTCCTCCATTCTCCTCTTGGGATCTTGGGCACGCACACGCGCCCGGTGTGCGTTTCAGCCACCGGGTCTGGGACTCAAACTACGGTCGACTACATGGGAGTCCAGTGACATAGCCATTACGCCAACTGCTGGTCCCGGTTTCTGAAAATTAGCCAAGAACCCGAGATGCGCACCCCAAGGTCTCGGCCACATGTGCACGGAGCCTGCATGCTCATTTTCTTGAGCCGTTTCAGTGGGGGGCATCGATGAACGGGTTTTGGCATCAACTTTGTAACAGAAACACAGGATGCTCTCGGCTGGCTGGCTGGTTTCGTTCGCAGTTTTTAAAAATGGCTTAACTGGAGCCGGTAGGTGGGATGGTGGTTAAGGTGCTGGATTCCCACATGGCCAACTGTGGTTTGAGTCCCAAACCTGGTGGCTTGCTTGCTCACTCCCGCCCCTGCTCCCCTATGCCTCTGGCAAATTGAAAATAATAAACAAACATTGTTTTCACACATGGCTTAATCTCTGATGAAGTCCTCTGTCTGAGTATATCTTGGGCTGTTTCTACTTTTGTTTTCAGCCAAGAACAGACTATTTTAACGGTATAGGATCTAGTTACAGGATAACCCTTAAGAGTAGTGTATGAATTAATTCTAAAGCCAAACCCAAATAAAAATACCAAGAGCAAACCACTTGTGTTCTCGGCCCACTTGTTACCAGAGTGGAGCAGGGAGAAGCCCCAGTGGGGCTGGGCGAGGGACAACCCATTTCCTGTCTGGCATGGGGGGAGTCCGGGAGCTGGTTGCACTCTAGCGAATTTCCACCAGGGGGAGCGTCTTAGCAGGTCGCCCCGTGCTGTTCAAGTTTCCAGCAGCTAGCTGATTTTTATTGGTGACTGTTAGCAGACTGAACCTCTTCACCTACCAGACACTCAGTTTATGAAGCCAAGTCCTCCTCTTATCCTCATCTTCCTCAAATTCGGGAGGCTAAGCTGACTACTTTTTATATGCAAAGCTCCAGTCAAAGCATGCGTTTCTTCTTGGGCCCTTGTTAACAGTTCTTTGTTCCTGTAGTTAAATGTCTATACAGCTAGAGGAGCCCAGGAGCTCAGTGGACAATAAACTACAATTCTCCCTGCTGGACAGGAGACTTCCCTAATCAGCTCAACATGAGCCCTGAGACAAATTAAAATAATAATAATAAAATTAAATGAATAATTCTAAAAAAATTTTTATTTATTTATTTAATTTTTTTTCTAGAGGGTGCGTGCGCTCGCCAGAAAGACAGAGACAGAGAGACAGAAAGTGAGAAAGCACCCCCCAGGGGGGATGGCCACACCACAATCCCTTCTCCTCCATTCTCCTCTCGGGATCTTGGGCATGCATGCACACGCACCCAGCATGAGTTTAAGCCACCGGGTCTGGGACTCGAACCAGGGTGGACTACATGGGAGTCCAGTAACACAGCCATTACGCCAACTGCTGGTCCCAAATTATTATTGAAATTAAATGTTTGTCATCAGAAGAGACCGACCAGCAGCACGCATGATGACCCTGCCAGGTAGGGGTGCACTTCCATCAAGGAAGTTGCTCTGTGTGCATTCAAAGACAAGGCGTGCCTGGAGTGGGAATTGACCCTGGCCTGCCGGACTTCTGGGTTAGTAAAGATGGCCACCACTGGGGAGCGTTTTACATTTTCACTTTTATACTGATGAAAAACGGTCCCGGGGTCAAGGGTGCCGTGGTTGCAATGCAGTTGGACCCGCAAGTGGAAGGTGCTGGGTTCACCTCCCCAAGGAAGCACGAGGTACCTGTGTGACGCATGCCTGTTATCCGTGTCGGCTGACACCGGGGTGGGTCTTCGCATGGACACCCAATGGGGTACATGTCTCTCTTTTTGTCTCTCTCTCTCTCTCATGAAAGAGAAAGTAAAAAAACAAACAGTCCTATGTAGGTGCCTGCCTACACAAAACTCTTCCAGGCATCACCTGAGGAACGGCCTAAACGCTCTTGGGCCAGGGCATCTCTGTCTGGGAGAATGAATGGAGAATTTGAACTAACATTTCCATATTCAATATGGCCTTCGAAGCTAGAGCTGCCCCCACTGTAGCATGCCTGGCACTTTTCTGGGAAAATCTGGGGTGCATTTTCATGAAAGACCTCATGTTTTTGAAAAAGGCCAAGTCTACACGGTAACAAGGTGTAGAATTTCAAGAAATTGCAATCTAGGCCCATAAACCTAGAAACCCCCTCACACAAATGTCCTGGGCTGTTTTCTGTCCTCCCCTTAAAAGCTACCCCCTCACAGCTTACACCCCAAACCCTTCTACTTACTTAGCGCACCTGGATTTAGAATTCTTTAACTCTCTGCCTCCCTGACCTGGTTCCTCCCTCTTAAATCTCAATCCTCTCTCTCACCATGGACTGCGACCACAATTATACCCAACATTTTGCTGGTTTCACATCACGACTTGCTATACATTTTCTTTTTCTAGAGGTTCTGTCTCTTCGAGAAAACCTACAACTACCGGGCAAAGTGGAGAGGGGAAGGACTTTGATGAGAGACACACCTCTTCTTTGCAAACTTACATACACCTGTGGCAGGTGGTGGCCCTGTGCTCATGCACCCAGGCCCACAGAGCAGAGTCTTAGGTTGTGTCCCGGGACCTCCGTAAACATGTGAGGGGCACACATGAGCTTGTGATCCGGGCCGGACTGTGAGGTGAAGCCCCAGTGGAGGATGCTTGTCTCTCTCACTGAGGAAATCAAATGGATAAACTGAAATCCACCCCGTGCAAAACGTGGAGCTGAGCTTCCAGAAGCTGAGGCCACTGAGTGCGGCTCAGCGCTGTGCTGTGGCTCTCACTCAACTATGGCAGCAGGAGTCTCAGGGTCTGGGTATGACCCGGCCTGGGGTTACTTTATGCCCAAGGGCTCCCTGCAACTACCTTCCCTCCTGGGGGATTGTGGTAAGGAGAATCCTGTGGCCGCACCCAAACCAGGTAAAAGGGATGTCCCAGGGGCCGGCCACCCGCAGATGGTCTGCAGTAAACGCATGCGTTCCAGCGCTGCCGTGCGGGCAGCTGGTCCTTGCCGGCTCATGGGCAACCACGTCGTGGCCGGGTTCTGTGAGCGCGGCCACTGTCTATAGCAAGGGTCCTGGCGAACTGTGTGGAAACGGAGGCTGGGCGGAGGTGCGGACAAACTGGTCTGCGCTGCCTTACCCTTAGAGGGTCTGATTGGACTGATGAAAGGCGTGGCCATCTGCTCAGTCCTTCCTCCTGGAATTCTACACATGTCCTGCTCCCCCTGAGAAATAGAGGGGGGACAATGGGGCTGGGGCAGACGCTGACTCTGTCCACCTGACACTGAGGAAGAGAAGCCCTAGGAAAATGGAGTCGGGGTAGTTCCTTGGCTTCGAGCACAGCGGCGAGGTCAGGCCTTCCAGACCTGCGGAGCAGCACCCACCCTGCTGCGGGGTCGCTAGCCGCCAGGATGAGCCGTGGCCTGGGCGTGGCTGTATTTGGTTTTGGGGGGATAGGGGCCCCCCAGCGGCTGGAGATGATGGCGCATGGAACAGAGGACAGGAGGAAATACAGAAGCCGTAAAGGGGAAAACCCAGGTGGCAGAAGACGCGTCCGGCGGCCGTTAATTGCGCTGTCGGGGCTGGAGGGAGGAAGCACACACCAGCGCGGAAGAATAATACCCGGATTCGGGTCAAGCAGAGATGTGATTAAAGAGAGGACATGCAGGGTGCTTCTCAACGAGGACACAGCTCAGACTGGGAGGAGGAAGGTTATTCAAAGGGAAGGCACTTCAGGCAGCCCTGGTTCCTGCAACACCCTGGCACCCCAGTGAGGCCGGCCCTGCTACGGATGCGCAGAGGCTGGCACTGCCCACGCCGTGCAGGATTCCCACCCCTCGCAGATGCGCTCATATGAGGGTTAGAGATGTGCACCCTCCCTCACAACCACCTCCCCACGCGGGAACAAAGGGCTCTCCTGTAGGGGCTGGGGCATCCCTAGCAGCTCTGAGGACACTAGGGCCACTGCTACTGCTTCCCAGGTTCCCCCAGTTGCTGACTCAAGAGCCAGCCCTGCTGTGGGGCTAGGCCCAGCTGGCCAGCAGCTCTGCCCCGCGTCCTCAGGAAGGGTCACCATCCGGGACCCAGGCTGGGAGTCCTACCAAGAGGAAGGTACGGATGTCCCATGACCCCTCAGACGCAGGAGCTGGCTGCAATGGCACCGCGCTCCACGTGGCCTGAGCGCTCGGCCCTCCGCTCCCTCTCTGGGTCTCCACCACCGGGGGGCGCTCACTACCTGTGCTATCATGAGATCCAACATCACTCTCTTTGGACTGGGGGATAAGCCCGTTTCTTCGCAGGGCACAGGTGGTAACTCCGTGTTTGCGTAACTGGTGCCGTTCACAGTTAGATTTGGTAGAAAAGAAGGCATCGCATTTTTGACAAGGGAAGGGTTTCTGACCTGAAGCAGGAAAAAAAATACACATTTATCTGGCTTTCGACGGCAATGCAAACGCCAAGGCACTCTGGATTTGTTCTCTCGGGGTTACTGGCGTCCGTTCCCCCAACCTTTATTTTTAAAGAAAACAAACAACATGCATTCAAAAAGCAAACACACAAACAGCTAAGAACACCAATGAAATGAATGGATGGGAATTTCTGGTCTTTTTTTTTGGAGAGGTTTTCACTGTAGGGCGCATGGGCTCGCCAGACAGAGAGAGACAGAGAGACAGAAAGCGAGAAATCACCCCCCCAGGGGGGATGGCCACGCCGCAATCCCTTCCCCTCTATTCTCCTCTCAGGATCTTGGGCCATTACACTAACTGCTGGTCCCAGGACTTTCTGGTCTTTGACATGTGCCAAGGAAGTTAACCGGGAAATCAAGATACATGTAATGTAAAGCAATAACATTCCAGTGGAAAAAAAAAAAAAAGAAATAATTTGTAAAAGTGAATAGAGGGATTTTAGAGCACAGCAAGAAGAGACCTGTATCCGATCACGGGGAAGACGCTGCTTCATGATTTCTAACACGGCAAGTACAGGGTGCACATCCCTGCGCTGAGAAATCCGAAATCCGAACCGCTCCCAAATCTGAAACTTTCTGAGTGCTTATGACACGATGCCACAAATGGAAAATCCCACCCCTGACCTCGTGTGATGGGTTGCAGTCAAAATGGTGAGGTACAAAAAGAATGCATAAAATCACCTCCAGGCTGTGTAAGGTGTAAAGAAACAGAAGCGAATTCCGTGTGTGGACGTGGGCCCTGTCCCAAAGAATTCTTGTTTTGTATACGCAAATACTGCAAAAAAAAAAAAAAAAATGCCGAATTGGAAACACTCCTGGGCCCAAGTACTTTGAATAAGGGATATTCAATCTGTCATCTGGGTGATGCTGGGAAAGGGATTTAAAAAGGAAGCCGGCCAGGCCCTCCTGGAGGGATCTTGAGTCCTGCCCAAGCTGGGTATCTTTGGGGGCCCATGCAGAGAAATCAAACAGAGCTCCCCGGGAAATGTGGGGGTCCCCCTTCCTGATCTAACAGCACTGAGTTCTGACTCCCTGGGATTCCACCTGTGTGACTTGCTGAGTCCCCTGCAGTGACCTCTGCCCCTCTGCCAAGGTCACCGTGGTGGCCCTAGCCAGTGGAGAGAGACAGGAGGTCGTCTTGTTACATGACGGTTCTTTGTCCCCTTACTCTAAGCTCTTGCTTGCAAGTGACCGACGCATGAGGAAGGGTCAAGAGCTCCACCACAGATGGGATGTAGACAGGATGCTGGGCAGAACCCCCCACTGCCACAATCCATCCCAACTCCACAGGGGGGTGAACTGCTGAGAGGAGCCTCCACCCTCGCCAGCCTCCCATCCGGTCTGCCTATCCTCCCTCTTCCGGTTCCTCAGTGAACGCCACGTTTCACACACACTCCGAGTGCCTCTGCCACCTGCCCTGGGTTGGTGTGGACGAAGTGGACAGGGAGAGTAAAGGCAAGAGCGGGAGGGAGGTGGGCGAGCTGCAGTGGCGCCGTGGTAACAGGACGCTCTGCATGGCTGAAGCCCTACCGAAAGGTCCTGAGTTCATACCCCAGGGCCTCCCTGTCCATGCAGGCAGACGTGGGATTCCGGCTCATGCTGTGAAGACCCTGTTGTGAGTGCCTGTCTCTCTTCTTCTCTTGTATGAGAGAAAGAAAACTACCACATGAGCATGCACACCAACCAGTCAATCAATCAGTCAATGAGGGGAACAGAAAAGGAGTCTGGGGTCTGGTGTGTTTCTAAGACAGAGAAGACAAGAGAAGACAGTGGTCTGCTGTTCGCTGTATCACTGGATTTGCTCTTTTCCCCCAAATCACTATTATTTATTTGCTATAAGGTGCATGTGCTCATGAGCTAGGGACAGAGATAAAGAGAGAGAGAGAGAGAGAGAGAGAGAAATCACCCCCTGGGGAGAAGGCTGCACCACAATCCCCTCTCCTCCATTCTCCTCTGCTGACTCTGGTTGTACACGCACCCGGCGTGATTTCTGAGCCTCCAGTTCCTGGCCTTAAACTGTGCAGTCGGTCACGTGGGGTCCAGCCACCTCAATCTCTGCTGGCCCCCGAGTCCTAGATTTTTATTTTTTAACTTTTTGGAGAGGTTTTTGCTCTAGGGTGTGTGCGCTCGCCAGAAAGACAGACAGAGACAGAGAGACAGAAAGTGAGAAATCACTCCTCAGGGGGATGGCCACGCCACAATCCCTTCTCCTCTCGGGTTCTTGGGCGTGCATGCATTAGTGGCTGGCATGAGGTTAAGCTACTGGGTCTAGGACTTGAACTGCAGTCAAATGCATGGGAGACAAGCAACGTAGCCATTATGCCAACTGCTGGTCCCCATGGAATCCCTATGTTCTAACGTCCCAGTCTCCAACTTCACAAGGGAAAACGCGGAGCAGAGGGATCAACACAACCCCAGGGCGGTGCGTTGTGCTATCTGGTGACTGGGCTGCCACAACCGGGCACACGCAGCAGACCTGGCAGGACCGGGCTGCAGGCACCGCTCCCTGCGAACCAGCTGCCAGAGGCGTCGGCCGAGACTGAGGCATGAGCCAGTGTCGGAGGCCGAGACCACATGCTCGTAGCGCTGCACGGCAGGGGCCACTCGCCCGCCCAGGGAAGGACGGGCTGCCATGTTGCACTGCGACTCGCACCCCCACACCCCTCACAGCTGCGCGAGCACACCAGGAGTAACCAAGGACAGGGGACACTCCTTTCCTCCCGAGCAGAAAGGCCCTTTCCTCTCCTTGGGAGCTTTGTTTTCCCCTTAGGTTTTTGTCGTATAGCGCCTACACTTTCCAGAGAAATCAAACAGAGACAGACAAAGAGAAGGAAGTGAGAAATCCCTCCGACTCCCGGGGGCTACACTGCAATCTCTTCTCCTCTATTCTCCTCTTGGGATTTTGGGCACACATGCAAGTGTGCCCAGCATGATTTTCAAGCCTCCAGGTCCAAGGCTCGAACTGTGGTAGACCATGTGAGAATCCAGTGCCTTAACTACCAGAGCACTTGCTGGCCCCTGGAGTTGTTTTTTTAAAAATAATTATTTTATTTAACTTTAATTAATTAATTTAAAATAGACCAGAGAGGGACAGAGCGAGAGATGGAGAGAGAGAAAGCGAGAAAGCAAGGCGCCAGTTTCGGGACTTGAACCATAGTCGGCCATGTGGGAGTCCAGTGTCCTTAACCACCATGCCACCTACTGGCCCCAACTGCTGGAGTTTTTTTTTTTTTAGAATACAGGTGCCTGGAACAGTCAAAGACTGCAGAATTAAAGTCCTGGGAATGGCTGAGTCGGAACCACAGACTCCTAGAATGTGTGTACTTTTGAGGTGCTCCATGGAGACCCTGCACCTAAGTGGGGAATGTACCCTACTTTAGAGTGGTCTTTACCTAGGTCATTGATATTTAAAACAAAATGCCCACACTGAATAAAAAACGAGGGCTAGAGGGTGGCACAGAGGTCACAGTGAACCCTGTGAGGCTGACCTGCGTGGGAGGCTTCCAGGTTTGCGTTTGCAGACCTCCCTGAGCACGCTGGGCATGCGCGTGCCGAAGCCCTGGAGCTGGCTGGAGGTGGGGGTGGATCACAGCGTCGGGACCCTGTTGTGGTCCTGCCTCTCAGTGTCCCTCCCTCTTCCCTTCTCTCTCGCTCATGGAAAAAATAAACGTGATGCTTTTGCACACCCCACTGTAAAGTATTTCAGTGTTTATGATGTGTCTTCCGAACGGCTTCCTGCTCTTCATTAAAATGGAAACTATTTAATAATTTCAAGTAAGAATAAAATATTCAGGGCCAGCAGGTGGCACGGTGGTTAAGGCACTGGACTCCCACGTGGCCGACGTCGATATAAGTCCGGGATCTGGCGGCCTGACAGTCATGCAGTGTGCGTGTGTACGCATGCCCGAGATCCCCAAAGGAGAACGGAGGGGAAGGGTCTGCAGCACCGTCATCCCTCCTAAGGGTGATTTCTCACTTTCCCTCTCCTCGTCTCTCTCTGGCAGTGCATGCACTCTATGGCAAAAAATATTTAAAAAAAGAAAAGGAAAAAATACCCTTGCTTGAACATTTTATTGTCAAAAGGCACCAACGCAGGTCCTCGAGCCTGGCTGGCTGGAGAGGAGGAGAACTAGGCCCAGAAGAAACTAAGCCAGAAGGCATGATAATTATGACTCTCGATTGGGAAGAAAGTGACGGGTTTCTCATTCCCAGCAATGACGTGGCTGGCTCTAATTTTCTCCCTGGTGAACACTACCTCACCTTCATGGTTGGTCTGGGCAGCCAGGCGTGTCTCTCATGGAGATTCGTGCTCATGCTAACCCTAGGGAACAACTCGAGGGTGTGAGGCAGTCTACGGAATTAGGAAGGCTCCCAAATGGACAATGCACGCGGGCCATTCGAGGTTCGCACCTCACTGCCAGGTCTCACCTGCGCACAGCGGAGCTCCCCGGACTGGAGGAACAGAGAGATCACGCCCTGTTAAGCCTTAGTAATACGCTTCTATTGGGTTGGTGCAAAAGTCCTGGTATATTATTTTTTATATGCAAAAATGCATTTTCTAAGAACCGAGTAAAATCCTGTTAACTGGCAGCTGTATGCTAAGTATCAAACGATGGTACTTACTTGGCACCTACCACAAATGACTATGTTTGAAAAGGTATTTGTAAAAACACCTGTTAACCACAAGGATGAGTCTTTGCACCCAAGGCCCACGGCGTCCCCCCACATCTGATATGAGCATTAAAGCCATGAGCCAGCCGCTGTTCCTTCTCTCAGACCGGTCAAGAAGAGAGACAGATGGAGCAATCTCCCACTGGGGATATTCAGGAAGAGGGGATTCCGTATGACAGGAAGATACCTGCACCCCCATGGCACCATGGTACCATTCGCACAAGCCGAGATCTGAACTGGTTCAGCGACAGATGAATGGAGGAAGA